CAAGGTCAGTTTCTTGAGGTTCTTGTAGATTTCTAGGTGGCTCGTGGTCGGACTGGGCTTTGATGAGAACTTTGTCCCTGCAGACGGGCTGTCGAACACAGACATATAGTCACTGTCTGACTGCAGCGAGATGTCGTCATAGCTCGACTCTTGACGTGATGGACTTGGTTTTCCGTCCTCTCTCTGTTGATTCTTCCTCCATGTTGACAGAGAGCCCTTCGGAAAGGGAATCATTTCCTCGTCCAAGAACCTCTTCGGAACTTTAATAACGCGGGAGGACCGTGCACTCATCACGAGAGTGGAGGAGTTGTTTGCGCTCTGCTGGACTTCAGAAAACGAGCTCGTCTCACCCTCAGATGGGGTGACATTCTGACCTTGCAGCGTAGTTGTGGATGGGATGGGTTCTGGTACATAGGTGTAAAAAACACGCCTAGTGCGATTACGCCTTATTTTAGGACGATTTACGATTGGAACGCCTCCTGTCTGCTTTCGCCTGTGCCCAAACAAACGTTTGCGTGGTCTTTTCTGAGCCGTTTTCTCTGAGGAACCTACGGATTTACACTCAAAAGGCATTGCTGCCTCCTCTCCACTCTGGGCACCGGCCTCTGCCCCAGCTTCTGGAGAGGTACCCATATTCTTAGCCAATCTCTTTCTTTGCCGTTTGTGAAAGGATGTGATCGACAAAGCAATGGCTTGAGATGTGCGTCTGCTGTTCCCAATTCGAAAGCCCTTCAGGCGTTTCACAGCTCTCTGTGGCTGGGACCGGTCTGTGTCTGGATCCTCTGACACCTCGCCTTGTTCTTTGACCTTGGAAGCTTTTCCTGCACCCTTGACCGCTGCCAGAGCGCTCACCAGCTTATCTTGCTTGGTGCTACCAGCTGAGGTAGCGGCTGTTTGGTTTTGCATGCTGCCTGAGTCTGCTGATCTTGTGCTGCTCTGTCTACCTGAGGCCTGCCCGTCTGCATGTTTGGTTTTGGCAGGGAGAGCTACCTGCTTGTCGTGCAGTTTAACTACCACCTTGGGTATGTCTTTGTCTTTTACAGGTCTGTCTTTGACATCCTGGCCTTCTTTAGGGACCCTTGGTACAATTTTCCCAATAATAGACGGTTTTGGAGTCCTGGGTATAATTTTTCCAATGAGAGGCTTTGCTCCCAGAGAATGGTCTGAAGCTTGGGGAGACTTTGCTTGGCTGAGTAATGACGAATCGAGAAGAGTGACAGATTTTTTCTGTGGACGAACTCTTGTGGTCCCAAATCCAGTGAAATCTTCCTCCTGGAGAAAAACACAAGCGCAATTTTTAATACGAGATTTGTACATGTTGAAATGAAGACCTGTCGGTATGCTGTACACCACGTGGTGCACAGACCACAAACACATGATATAATTATAATGAACTGATAATTAGGAAAGGACTGCTATATAAAATAGACATGAATATGAACGCAATAATTACAGACATATAGCTTATCTTAAATATCCAGGATTTCCATAATATAGAGAGCTGATGTAAAAGTGGTAAAAAAGACACTTAAACAGCTCTGTCTGTCCAGTATTGTGTTTCAAACAATGATAATGAATGGGTTCAGCAGGTACTCAGGTTTCTGTGTGTGTGTGTGTGTGTGTGTGTGTGTGTGTCGGGGGATCCCTGCCCCAAGGGTGTCCGTACCATCATAATAATATGTTGAAGCATAACTAAAACTTCACCCAAGCCAATGGAGGTATTATGCAACAATGCAAAAACAATTGTCTTTTAATTAAAAAGCTTTAATCATTCCTCACCCACTTCTGAGTTTATCATTTGATTATGAGGCATTAGCCCTGTTGAAAACATGATTAAGCATCAGCACTGCTCTCAATACCGTTACTCCAGCGTTGCATCAGTATAGTGCTGAGACACCAAATGAAGCAGATTTCAGTTTCAGTCGGTGAGTCAACTGTCAGAAATAACTCAGCAGATTCTCTACCTGCACACCATCTCTCGTCATGTGTCTAATTTTTAATTTTTAAAGTGAGATGAGGAGTGTAGCACTCAAGCTAAGGTGGGATATAAAAAAAAAAAAGAAAGCAGTGCATTTCAGCCTAATATAATACATTTAATACAGCCACTGAAAAAACACATTCAAACTCTTTTTAAACAGATCCTTTGGAGCACAGTCAGCCTCCAACATCCTCCTCTACCTCAGACCCAAAGATTGCACACTGCAGCAGATCAAAAGCACACTTCAACTTGATTTTCAATTACTCACTTCCATCTTCACGCGCAAAATAACGACTCCATAGATTCGTCAGCAATGAAACTCCCCTAATGATACCTATTCAAAAGCCCTGCAGAGCACACGAGTGTGTGGGGCTCTAAGTGACGTGTGGCACTCCAGTTGAGCAGCACCCACAAGCTTTAGCATGGGCCATGTGAATCTGTTACAGTCCACTTTAAAAGGGTTGCATCAGTGAAGTCCGACTGATGCAAGACACTAAAGCCCCTGCTCTGGAGATTAAATAATATGATTAGATCCAATTTGGTATTGTATCGTTATCACAGTCCTGTCTGGCTGAGGCAAAATGGAGACCACCTCTGAATGACATGACATCTAACACTCTGGCTTCTTCTCAGTGCGTTAGAGTACTCTTTTGGTTGTCGTGTAATATTTATGCCTCATTATGAATGACTCCAGCTTTTACCGGTTTGAGAGCACAGCTGTGCACAGAACATGTATCAGCCATGGTGTGTAGCTGCAAAGCTCTTACAATGTGTTAGAAATATTCACATCCTCATTTTCTAACTGCGTTTCTAGGCTTTTGTCAATGTTGACTATTCAATTATACAAAAATATGACAATAACCGTCACCTAGGCTACACTACAGTATTAAAAAGACTCATACTTAGTGCCCCTGGACCCTCTCAGCATGTCAATCAATAACACTTGATTTCCACCCATCATACTTTGCAGTAACTAAGTTGAGTCAAAGTCTATGCAAGCAGTGCACTACACCTGCTGCAGCCTGCAGATAACCAACAGATAATCATGATATTTCTTAAAAATAGACCTTATAAATGCAAGTAAAAGCTGGGAAAAGCTTTGATTCTTCCTTAACTTTTAACATTTACATCAACAACAAAAGGGAGATGTGCATGATGGGAGGGATGCATAGTTGTAAACACAGGATATACCAAATTGGGCACTGGGCAACATCTTTTTCTAAAGGTTCAAATTAAGCTTTTTTTAGGTTTTAACGTCAAGGTAACGTCTCTGTTTCCCTTCCCGTTGCTTCCCACGTTACACTGGCGTTCAAAACACCGAGCTCCAACGTGGAAAGTGTGAATTGTCAAGTTGGGAGCAGCACCAGCAACAGCGACGTTTTACTTACGACGAGATTAGCAGCCTGTGGATGTCAGCAGTGTGGGAAGTTCGGCTCAACAAACCGTGACAGGGGGATGAACAAACAAAGACATCCCCCGGTTTCCACAACAAAACACATCCACGGCTGTAAGACCGCCAAACTTTCCGCCTAATGTTATTTTCAGGCAAACAAACTCAGCTGGACGGACACTGGTCTCTCTCTGTGTGTGTGTGTGACTATTGCAACCCACAGTATTGATAAGGGGATTTTCAAAAACAGACAATGAACTACTAATATCTGCAGAAGCAATCAACTACTGGAAATACTCATATCTGCAGCGCAGGCAGACTAGCTAGCTACAAAGCCTATTTTAGGGTCGCTGTTTACAAGATAAGTTACAGCTAACTAGCTATACGTTAGCCTAAATACTTCAGTGAGTGACAAACAAATTGTTTTTAAATACCCTTCTTTTAACCGTGTCCCCATTTAGACGCATTATTATCCGTCTAGCTGACGTGCTACAGTTAGCTTATTCACCTCCTCACTGTCGCTGGAGTCGAACCCCGCATCTCTCTGCCGCCTGTGCTTCTCCGCCACCCCGAGCAGACGCAGCAGGGACGGATCCTCGCTCAACGCAAGGCCGATGTTGACGGGCCTCGGCCCTCCGGCAGCGAGCTCCCCGTCGTCCGAGCCCAACCTTCCGCGTCTGGTACGTTTCTCCGACCGCAGCCTGCTGCGAACCGCGCACGGCCGACCCGGGAATCGAGCCCGGGCGACCCCTTGGGCACTCAAGCCCGCGACGGTAGCGGGAGATGGTAATCCGCCTCCCGATGCCGCCATTATTTACTACAACAACACGGACGGCGCGCTGGCAGAGGCTGACAGCAGCGATATGAGAGGCAAGATGGACTGCGCCGAGGCAAAGGCGCGAGATAGAAAGCAACGGTCCCGGTGCATCATGGGAAAACGAACTTCTCCGGCCCATTGACAGAATGCTCTCAGGCGAAGCACGCCCCTAGTTCGCCGCACTGGGCGACGTCGCCTGTGTCTTCTTTAGGTATCAGGTGTTGTTTTCATAATTCTTGTAGATTTAAGTTAAGAATTGTGGATCAAAGAGGCGACATTAAGATTGAAGTAAGAAGAAGTATTTAGATTATTTACATAAATGATAATAATTTATTTACAAGTACCTTAAAAATTATACTTTAATACAGTGCTTGAGTAAATGTACTTATTACAGTAATTGTTGTCCATAGTTTTCAAATGTACATAATCAATCTTAAATGTTTAGTTATATTTGTCTTATAATCAATAATTTGTTGGTTAGCATCCTTACAATATTCCAATATTAGTGGCCACATCAAATTAGTTAAGTTTTTAGTTTAGTTTATATATTTTTTATTCTTTAGTGGACAAAAATAAACAAAGAATTCAAAATTAAGAGTTAAGCTGTAGCAGCAGCAAATGTGCCTCATAAGTAGGATACTTCTTCATAAATGACATATATGCATCTTCAAATTGACTATTACCTAAAATAGTGAGTGCTAGTAATTCTGACATGGTCGATTATTTTATGAACAGGTGGAAACAGGCCGTAAAAACATTTATATTTAACTTCTACAGTTTACACAGAACACAAAGTTACAGCCAAAGACACCACAGAAATGTGATTATTGTTTAATACAGCATCATTTACTTTTGGAAAGAGTAATAGAAGACCCAGAGAATACATCATTAGTTTAATAGGATTGAATCCTATATCTTGGTCCGTTTATCATATTTTATTATGTTTAGGACTTACATTCCCAGTGTAACTGTCACCTTTATGAGTTTTCCTGAAAACAAAATAGTACAGTTAAATACAAAACCTTCCCACACGAGTGAGAATTAGCTACTTACTCTACAATGAATATAAAACATTTCAGGTACGATAGAGGTAATTACGGACAGCAGAAAGGCCCTTGTGACATGAGCAGAAATCAAAATTATGTATAGATTGGTACAGAGTTTGATTCACAAGTGTAGGATGTCTTTCTAAAAGCAACTGAAAAAAGGCATTTCAGAAACAACCTCCATACTTCAATTGTGTTGCATAACTTGCTTCAAAAACTCTCAACCTAAAATATTCACATAATAATCTTCTACCTACACTGAGTAGAATATGATAATACTCTGACAATCATTTAACTGAATGAAGTAGGATGCAGTTGCAGTCTTTTCCCCATATATTATCTTTGTTCTGCTACCTCCTCTCCCTCAGTGTGGGTGTTCTGGTGGATCTGCAGAAGGTTCTCTCCTGCAAAGCGTTTACCACAGGTGGGGCAGGTGTATTCAGAGCAGTGAGCCTTGCACATGTGTGCTTTGAGCTGCTCAGGCCGAGCGTAGCTCTCGTCACACTCTGTGCATGTGTGAGCCTTGCGAGGGGGAGGCCCGTGCTTCTCCCTCTTGTGTTCCCGCAGGGCGGCAACAGAAGGAAATATGAGGTCACAATCTGTTTCAGAACAAGGAATCTTGAGCTCTGTTTGTGGCCCATTGGAGGGGCATCCCTCCGTAGTAGACTCATCGTATCCCTGGCAGTCCCCTGCTTCCTCTTCTTGTTTGATCTTCTTGTTGTCAACCATCTCTGCTTGAGCTGCTTGCTTGGGTTTTCGCCCACGTTTTTTGCCTTGCGGCTTAACGTCACAGTTTAGGTCATTTGCAAATTTCTCCTGATGCTCCAGGAGCTCTTCCTCTGTCTGGAAACCACGAGTACATTTGCAGCATTGGTAGGTGTTGATGTCATCAGCTATTACTGGCCGTTGAGGGTGCACCGCGATGCGATGATTGCGAAGTCTTGAAGGACTGGGGAATAAGGCGCCGCAGTCCCTGCAGGGACACCGTCGCTCTATGCACTCATGTCGTCTGTGTTTGTTCAGCTGCAAGACATAAAACATTCATCATAGCCAATTAACAATTATTTTATAATTTCCCAAGCACAAAAAAACATGCCTACATGTAGCCCCACTGTGCCCTCACCTCAGTGAAAGTAAAGAAGTTTTTCTGGCAGTAAGTACAGTGAAAGGGCTTCTCCTCTGTGCTGTGGGTTGCCTGGTGCTGGCTGAGCTCATCAGAGGAGGAGAAGGACTTGTCACACTTGTAGCAAGTGAAGACTGTGTCAGTCTGCAAAATAATGAGCAGAAAGTTGTTTAGAAATAAACAAAATCCTAACTCAATGCTTTATTCCCTGCTTTTATAAGAACAACAAAACAATAAACAAGAAAATCGTACTTGCAAAGGTTTTTTCCCCCTCTGCTATTTTCAAACCAAATTACATCCCCTTTTTAACCTACAATCATATTATGTACATGACAAAATTATAATGAAAAGTTGTATTTATACTAGAGCCTGACTGATACATCAGCCCGGCCAATGTTCCACGAAATTGCAACACAGAAATACCAAAGATTAGTTTGAGGTAATTTAGAAACATTGTTGCCCTCACATACTTTGTCCAACAGCAAATAATGACAATTCTTTCATAATCACACTGAAGGGAAACTTGAAAAACAAATCAAAATATTTATATTACTGACAAATATTGACTGATATATTATGTTTTATTCCTTGTCTTCTCAAACACTGAAAGCAAAAATCCAGATAGTCAGCCGCTAATCCGTACAGCAACCCACTGCAGTTGCAATTCACAGAAAAATAACATTTTTTCAGACAAAACAAGTTATTGAATACATTCATTTGTTCTATAGGAAATAGTAACAAAGCATTTTCATTATCTGAAGATTATTCGATAATGAAAATAATCTTCAGTTGAACACACATGAATTGCTGAGTTTGTATCACTACTTGAAACCTGACCTGGCATTTTTATTTTGCTTTCCCCCTACCTGCTGCAGCTGCTGTTTGTACTGGTCCCGATGACTCTTCCTCATGTGTCTCTCCTTGGCTTTGGAGTTGCAGAAGGTGATGAAGCACTGAAAACACTGCAGACTCTCATGCTGATCTGCATCGCAATGAGATGACAAAGTTGTTTGCTGATTAGTTACAACGTAACAGCAGAAAACATACAGATTTAACTGCAGGGCATCATCTGTTTACTGTGATTGCTGTGAAATGAGACTTTGACAGTTATAACTGGGTTTTCTATGAACAATGCATATGAATGTTTAGCTTACAGGACTGCAGAGGGACGACCGCAGGCTCAGACTTGATCTCCGCTGAGGTGGATCTCCTTTCACTCCCAACAATGACTTGCTCTATCTTCATCATTTCCATGCTGGTGTTTTCAGACACATGGAGCTGTAACATAGGAACACACTGCTGTTGAATGCACACTGGAAATGCATCATACAGGTTCACAGGCTAAGATGCACTGACTATAAGCAGATGACTGCAGTGGTAGACGTAAGGCTAGCGTTAAGTTATCCCGCGATATTTCGGCTATATAATGAAACATTGGAGACTGGCCCTATTCAAAACAACGGGACATTTCTACAACAAATACACGCCTGGTGAAAAATGGGCCAATTTTTTTAATTTACTAATGCAAATGTAATTTAAGTAATAATGAAATAAAGACAATAAAACAACTAACGGTAGGCCAAAGCTAATTGACAGAAGGATGGAGGCAGCGGACATTGGTCGACCTGCACAGCTACAACTAAAAGCGAAGCGACTGTGCTCACATGTTTTAACCTTATTTTAAAGTGCGTTGCCTTGTGTTCACTTTAGCTTTACACCTGGGCACTTTACAACTGTATCTAAGTGAGGAAACGCTAATAATTGTGACTTCTGTCTTTGTAAACAATAAAAAAAAAAAAAAAGCCATCCATTTCTTACCGTGCGAAACGGCGAAACGTCCACCGAAATGAAGCCGCGGTGAATAGTCTGCCCACATCACGTGACACGAGAGGCTGCCGACCGCGGAGTTATCGCGAGATTATGAAAACGCAGAGCTTTGTGTGGACTGTACCACTGCATTATTTTTTTATCAATCAGGGAAAATACCGTCTACACAAATCTGTTTTAAAGTGAATCCATGCTTTGCACCACGTGGTTACTACATGAACTAGCATATTTGTATCTTTTTTTTAATTATAAATTTATTGTATTTATTTTTTTATTTAATAACTGGTTATCCCTGGCAAGTTGGAATATTCTGCTATTGTGTGCATCTTTGTTTCCTAAACACTGCACAATGAAAAAAGAAGAAAGAAGAAAAATGTGCTTCAGGTTTGCTGGAAATGATCAAAAACAACTATTAAACTGCATGTAAAACACACAAAAAAGATGTGATATTAAAAATACTCCAAAGACAAAACAAAAGCATAACTCAAGGTTCATAGAATTTATTGGTAATTTTATCAGACAAGGCAGACACATCAACGTAAAACTTGATGATGAGGTGATAAGAGGGCACATTATCGCTTTAAATAAGTTGTCAATGACACAAGCACAGGGTTAAGGACATGTGAGGCAGAAGAATGAGTTTAAGGAGGTGTAGGAGCAATTTAAGCCCTAGCCTGCTTCTGCTGCTGGTATTCAGAAATCCGGCTTTCCATCACAGGCCTGAAGTGCCTGATCAATCCCTGAGAACACAGAAAAGGGAAAACAGTACATTAATTTAGCTTGAAAGCAGAAGAATAAAAGGCAGTACTACAAACTGCATGTCAGTAAAGATTTACATAAAAAAGCAGTGGTAGAGGTTAAACATCAGCTTAGTCATTCCCCAGAGTTCTCGATTAATTCTCCTTTAATGACCCTGTCAGTATGCAAAAGCATTATGACTTTACACATGTTTACCTGCACTGGCCATGCTGCACCGTCTCCCAGAGCACAGATAGTGTGTCCCTCAATCTGCTTACTGATCTCCCAAATCATGTCGATCTCTGCTGGCCGTGCATCGCCTCGCACAAAACGCCACATCATGTTATTCATCCAGTCCACTCCTACAGAAACAGACAAAAAGGAGAAGAAGTATTTTAATGTTTGTAACAGGTGGTGTTACCGATGTGTCTAGCGTTAAGGTTGGTGCAGCCGGTGAACAAAATGACACCGAAGTGGCACTTACCTTCTCTGCAGGGTGTGCACTGTCCACAGCTCTCATGTTTGTAGAACTCAATCAGGCGGCAAATGGCTTCCTGATAAGTCAGTCTGCAAAAACAATACATCCCACCAATGTAAACGATGGGCTGATGATGTCTTATAGCATGATGAATTACCCTGCTGAGGGGACAACTTACAGATTTGTCCATGACGATAAAGTGCCGGCGGTGCCCAGGCCAGTCTTAGCCTGATGAACCATCAAATCCATTAAGCACAATCTTCACATACATGCTTGGAATGAGGGGTGTTGAGGAGCCACCAGGGGATTACAGCCAGCAGGTTATCCCAACCACCACGGCACCCACCTACCAAACAGATGTTCATTAAATTAAGTAAAAAAAAAAAAAAAAAAAAAAAAAAAAGGCTGAGCTTACGTTAAGCTGCCTTAATCTTTTCAGTCCATAACCCTCTTGATGCAGTAAAAATACATTCAGATAAACAAAAGATGCATTAAAGTTTTCCCCTTCCAGCAGTTTTACTTAATAACAGGAGGACTACGAATGTCATAAAAGGCAAGTTTTTTTAAAATAAAAAAATAATCAATCCAATCAAAAGGCTCATTACAACATTGGAAACACTTTGTGTCACATTTATTGTGTAAAATGTACCTGCGTGCCTCTCGATGAGGTCTTTCAGAGGAATAGACATCTCCTCCTCTACAGTGCAGGGGGTGTTAACATGGCCGGAGATATTAAAGAGCTTTGTGCCAGAGTTTCTCTCTCTGCCAAAGCCCAGAAACCACAAGCCTCCACGACGACAGATAGTGGGCGCCACGGATACAGTCTCCACATTGGCAACAGTTGTTGGGCAACCAAACACACCTTAAACATAGCAGATAGCAGTAGGAGTGAGGTAGATATTTCAGACCAGCTTTTATTTGGCAAGAATGAGCATCCAGAAGTAGTGCAAAGAAAACAAAACCTTTTGTTTTCTTCTTCCTTTGTTTTGCAAAATTTTATCCACTTCTGTTCACCAGAACTCACCCACATCAGCAGGAAATGGGGGCTTCAGGCGGGGCTTCCCCTGCTTTCCCTCCAGGGACTCAATAAGTGCAGTCTCCTCTCCACAGATATACGCTCCAGCACCACGCATCACAAACACATCAAAGTCATAACCGGAGCCACAGGCGTCCCTTCCAATAAGCCCAGCAGCATAGGCCTCATTGATTGCCACCTAAGAACAGAATTAAAAATGCTTTATAAGGACGCATTATTCCATAGACTTGTAATGTACATAAATCTACTTTTGCAGTCATGAGAGTACAAAAATAAAAATGAACCAAGTTATGACAGTTTATCTGAATGAGGTCATAATTGTATACGTGGATTGTTCCTTTTTGTACTTTGAGAACAGTGGAGGAGACATCAAATGCAGCTGAGCTTAAATTAATATAAATATATTAAAGATATGTGGAGTATTCTTAATTTAGTCACATTATTGAGGGTAATTTTATTTGCATGCACTATAGAGAATACATCTTATAAGAATTGTAACTATCAAAGATTTTGCAGAATTTTGTGACAAACACAGCAGCAACCAATTCATGACAGATGCCCTACCAGTTCATTTACAGAATGATTACAGAACCTGCAATAATGGGAATGGATATATATTTTAAAGAATGTAATTTAACTTTTGGTATTTTATAGTATTTAATGTAACTATTTGGTGTATACTTATGATTGTTACTATGGTGTTTTACTCGTCCAGCTCCACGTATTTGACTTGGAAGCTGTAAAACAGTAAAATAATGTTTGGTATTTATGCCTTCCTTGATTGAAGGCAGATTTACAGCCACTCCCTATTTAGGATTGTTTTTCATTGTCACAAATCATTTGCCTGATGATGGTCTAGCACCGAAACGTTGCAAATCTGTTATCACAAGTTAGACAGTATGTGGAAGCTTATTTGCAACTAGGCATCAACACTAAAAAAATGTTTTGTTCTTGTCCTGCATCCAACAACTACAACAACAAGTCCAGACTCAAGAGTTCTCTCAACTGATATCCTTTCAGCAAACACTCAACCCATAAGCTTGTTTTTAGAGATTTAATAGTGTAAATTAAATGATATTGCTTTTTTTTTTTTTTTAAAGTTCCTTTCCCTTATCCGTAACTTGATTTGGAACGTCCTTGAAAAAAAATGTACAAGCATGATAAAGTTGTATAACTCAGGTTTCATTCTGTCCATTTTCACCTGCAGGTTGGATGACTCATTGTAGAACTCTCCTCTGATATAGATATAAGCAGCACGCGCCCCCATGGCCATCCCAGCGACCAGGCAGCCCTCCACCAGCTTGTGTGGGTCATTCCTCATAATCTCCCTGTCCTTACAGGTACCAGGTTCTCCCTCATCTGCATTCACCACCAGATACTTTGGCCTAAGGCAAGAAATTAGAACTGGGTTAAATGAAGCAAATGTCATTGTCACCCCTAGAGCAGCCACTGCGGTGGATCAGTCCAAACAGTCTAAATTTAATTAAATTGGCCAAAATTGATATTTGGTCAAAAGCATCTATCTAAATGCCAAAATAATGCAGATACACCCAGCTACTGCCAAGAAAGACTTCACCAGCGAGTTGTTTTACAGCTATACCAGTCAATTTGAATTGCAAACAGGAATGAACGATGAGAAATAAACTTGCAGCCTTTTTACATAAGTTGATTTAAATATCAAGCAAATTAATACAAATCAACTTTAACTTAGAATTGGTTACTTCTAAATGAAAAATAAATACATCCATAAATACTTTAAAGTAGTTAGTAGTAGTAGTAGTAGTAGTAGTAATAGTTTGGATTTATCACTTCCCAGACAACCATTCGAAAAATCTTAAATTACTTTGAGAAACCTGTGCAAATACTTTGGGGCAAATAAACTAAGACAGACACTCTTCAGTATTGTCGCTGTAATTTCTAGTTAAGACTCTACAAGGCATTTGTGTCTTTGCCTAAAAATCTGGTAAAATGAAAAGAGAACATCAAGCAAAAACAGAGTACGTATGCATCTGTCCAACTCCTCACTGACCTGCCATCGCTGGGCTTGTTCATGAAACTCCACTTCATGCCTGTAGGGAAACCTGCTCCACCTCTCCCACGCAGGCCAGAAACCTTGATCTCATTGAGGATCCAGTCGACTCCCTTCAAAAGGATCTCCTTAGTTTTGTACCAGTCGCCACGTTTCAGCGCCCCCTTCAGCCTGAAGCACAAATATGAGCAGGTGAGGATTGTTTTCTGTTGTTATAGAAATGATTGATGCAGTTTTAATCCAAAAAATATTCTTCCAGGTTTAAAACATGCGAAACTGGAATGTTTCTTTTACTTTTACTGATCAGCGTATTATTTTCTGTTGCATAAGAGGGTCAATCAAATCAATATCATGTTTTGGATTTAACAGAGCACATGAGAATAACATCAGGGGTGTTACCTCCAGTCATGGCGTCCATAAAGGTTTGTGAAAATTCTGTCCTCATCTGCCAGAGGTCCAAATGTTGTTTTCTTAGGAGCACCCTGGGAAATTAAGACATACACATAAAACGTCAACCCTATTGTTTAACACCGTTATAATTTCAGTTTTAATAAAATATGGGCCAGGTACCTGTGCTGTGCTGTTGAAGCGAGTGATGGCAGTCACTCCACCTTGGCTGACAGCGGCTGGAACACGAGCCACCCCACTCACCACCGCTCGAGTCAGGGACAGCATGCTTCCTGCATGAAGGAGAGACCACAAGTCAAATGTTTAGTTTAGGTTCTTTTAGTTTAACAAGAAATTTAGGACAATCACTGTTTAGGTTGCAACTAATGATTGTTTTCATTATCGATTAATATATTGATTATTTTTTCAGATCATATGATCCATAAAGTACGTAAACAAATGTCCAAGGTGAAACACGAAGGTATTCAGTTTACAATGTCATAAAACAAAGATTAGCAGCAAATGCTCACATTTGAGAGTCTGGAAGCAGAGAATGTTTGCAATTTGCTTAAAAAATGACTTTAAAGGAGGTGTGTGTGGGATTTTGTGGCATCATCTGAAACCGTTTGACTCAACCGGACATAAAGGAAAAACTATGGTTGCCACAAAACTCTCGAAATACCCATCTAGAGCCAGTGTTTGGTTTGTCTGTTCTGAGCTACTGTACAACATGGCAGACTTTATGAATGACTCCAGAATAAAAACAACTCTTTCTAAAGTAACACAAACACAACAATTCTTATTTTCAGGTGATTATACTCCAATGAAAAATACCTATGAATATCATATTCCACTTCTACCAATACATTCTCCTAAATGTCACACACTGCACATTTAAAATATTAATTGAGACAGCGCTCTCAATGTGTTTCCCCTTTTGTTCTTGAACTTTAAACTGAAGTGCGGTGGGATATGGTATCATTTGTATTGGTACCAGCACTCAGGTACGGGCACCAGTGTAGAAAAGTTACAGTCAAATATCTTTCTTGCAAAACTGAAGCTACAAGCTGAAACTTACAGATTTATCAGATTACTTTTATATGCAATTACTGGTTTTACAAACTGAGAATTCCCATTAGTGTTTAATCCAGGAGTCGTGCTGTAATTTGCTTTGTCTTTGTCATAACCACCAAACACCTCTTTCAACCCATTCAAGCAGAATCAAAACAAAGTTGAGTGAAAGCAGACTCTGCTTCAGTTTCAGGACGGTGAAGGGTAACCAACACTAGATTAACTTTTCATTTTATGGTGGGGACAAATAGATATTTGGCTTAGACATGTTTGAGCACTGGAACAGCTTTGACAGAGATCTTGTGTAACTTATTATGCCATGTTGTTATATCAGAGGTATTGAGAGTCAGCTAACGAAGGTGAAGGCGAGCGCTACCAGTGGTATTAATCCCAACTCTCTCTGTAATACTCAAAGTCTGCACACCTGTGAAGAAATTGAAGGATTATGAATAAAGCTTCACCTCCACTGTGATATTTAGAGCACACACTGACCTCCGTGCGCATACTAGCGCGGAGCTAGGCTAGCGGGTAACCTTGTAATGTCAGAATAAAAGCAGCGGATTCACGACGTAGCATCCAAATATCTAACCGACAACACGTGAGTGAGTTCGTCAATACCTGCTGTAATGTCCGCTGCATTATTGGCGATCAAAAAACGGTGAATGGCTTAATGTTAAGTTAGCAAACAAACATGTATCTTACCTTCGCTAAATCCCGAGTTTATGAAATCTAGACCGGATCCGGATGTAGAAGAGCGGAGGACCCGGATGGAGTCACAGCCAACACAGCTGCTGCAGTGGAGGCTTGTTTTAAAGTTTCATTTATTTATTATTTATTTAAATTTAAAGTTTAAAACATCCTGACAATAAACCTGTAAATAATATTTCATAACAACAAGTCTCAGTGTATGTGTGTGCTCAGGCTATACTTCAACTGCAATATCTGTCAGTGTAAAATATTGTGCTTTTTAAGATACTCAATTTGACACCTATAGTTATTTTTTATAAATAAGACTCTATATACTCTCTATATATGATATATTACATTATACTCTTCAATGAGATACAATAGCCTAGTGAAAATCTACCACAACCTCAACCATCTTTAACATTAATATACTAAATTGTTAATGCTCCAACAATAATGTAATATAATATAGTTTTGCTTTTAATAATTGAACTACTACTAGTAATATGTTTGCTTTTAATACTCATACATAGTAATATAATTTTCACTTCTGAGTGAAAGAGTGTTTTTCACATTGTAATACTACTTCTTTTATTTGAACAAAAGTATTTCTTCCATCAGTGGTGTGTGTGTATACTCATAGGCAGTCACGGTAACTTTAACTAATAACTTTGAAACAAGGCATAGGCAAAAATATTTTTATATTATGTTTAAAGGGTAGAAATATTTATATTTACATGACATCATTAATACAAGGGTCATTCATCAGAAAGTTAAAATAATGATAAAGCATTGTCTAAGCATTGTTATCAATGTTGTCAATGTCAATACTGTCAATGTCAGTTATGACAGTACACATACATAAGAGAAGATACAGATTAGAGTCAGACTATTCCATGTCTTATTAATATCAGTATTTCTTCTTATTGCACAGTTGATTAGACTATTAACCTATTGGTGTTAAACCTACTTACATTTGTCAAAGATTGCTTAGAGGCAGAAAATAAGCAGCAACTAAGGCCTCCCCTCTCGTATTCAACCTTATTCACAGTCAAAATATCTCCAGTAAAAAGGGTCTATAGCCTCACTTGTAGTTATCAGTGTGCATTGTTGTATTTGTCCAAATAAATCATGTTTATGCAGAAATTAAATTCTTCATTATTATGTGCTACTAATTTACCTACCGGAGGTTTATTATCACAAGCATTTTTTTAAAAGCCAAAGGTATGTTTGAAAATGACTTGCCAACATAAATTAAAACAGATAAAACCAACATAAATAAGAAAATAAATAATAATACTGGATACTAAATAAGGCTGCTCAATTAATCG